TGATGGGCATCTAGGTTGCTTCCATGTCCTGGCTATTATAAACAGTGCTGCGATGAACATTGGGGTGCACGTGTCTCTTTCAGATCTGGTTTCCTCGGTGTGTATGCCCAGAAGTGGGATTGCTGGGTCATATGGCAGTTCTATTTCCAGCTTTTTAAGAAATCTCCACACTGTTTTCCATAGTGGCTGTACTAATTTGCATTCCCACCAACAGTGTAAGAGGGTTCCCTTTTCTCCACACCCTCTCCAGCATTTATTGCTTGTAGACTTTTGGATAGCAGCCATCCTGACTGGTGTGTAATGGTACCTCATTGTGGTTTTGATTTGCATTTCTCTGATAATGAGTGATGTTGAGCATCTTTTCATGTGTTTGTTAGCCATCTGTATGTCTTCCTTGGAGAAATGTCTGTTCAGTTCTTTGGCCCATTTTTTGATTGGGTCATTTATTTTTCTGGAGTTGAGCTGGAGGAGTTGCTTGTATATTTTTGACATTAATCCTTTGTCTGTTGCTTCGTTTGCTATTATTTTCTCCCAATCTGAGGGCTGTCTTTTCACCTTGCTTATAGTTTCCTTTGTTGTGCAAAAGCTTTTAAGTTTCATTAGGTCCCATTTGTTTATTTTTGCTTTTATTTCTAAAATTCTGGGATGTGGGTCATAGAGGATCCTGCTGTGATTTATGTCGGAGAGTGTTTTGCCTATGTTCTCCTCTAGGAGTTTTATAGTTTCTGGTCTTACATTTAGATCTTTAATCCATTTTGAGTTTATTTTTGTGTATTTTTTCACCCTTTTACTTTAAACTTGTACATGTCAAGTTTCAGGTATGACTCTTAATAACACATGGCTATGTTTTTAAAACTGCAATCAGTCAAGCATCATCTTGATTGGTGAAGTCAGTCCATTTATATTTATTCTAATTAGTGGTATTTTGATCCTGTTTCTATTACCTGAATTTGCTTTTTCAGTTTGCGTGTGTTTTAGTCGCTCAGTAGTGTCTTGACTCTTTGCGACCCCATGGACTGTAGCCCACCAGGCTCCTCTGTCCATGGGATTTTCCAGGCATAAGAATACTGGAGTGGGTTGCCATTTCCTTCTCCAGGGGATCTTCCCAATCCAGAGACGAAACCCATGTCTCCCGCATTGCAGGCAGATTCTTTACCATCTGAGCTATGAGGGAAGCAGTTTGTATTACCTTTTAGCTCTTTTCTAACTTAAAATGAAATTTGTATCCATGATTTTCACTGTTGCTTATTCCTGGAAATGTTCATCTCCTTTAAAATTTGTAACACTACTGGATTTATCACATTTCAGATAATAATAAGGACTTCCCTGGTGCCTCAGGCAGTAAAGCATCTGCCTACAATTCGGGAGACCCACGTTCAATCCCTGGGTCGGGAAGATCTCCTGGAGAAGGCAATGGCACCCCACTCCAGTACTCTTGCCTGGAAAATCCCATGGATGGAGGAACCTTCATGGTTCCTACATGGTAGGCTACAGTCCATGGGGTCGTAAAGAGTCAGACACGACCAAAGACAAAAAAGGACATGAACTTTTTGCTGTTTTCCCAGGGGGGTTATAAGTTGTCAGTGACCAGCATGTTTCCATCATGACCATGGCAGAACTGTGCCACATGACATCTTGACTGCTCATCTGAAGTTATTGAAAAAATGCTGTTTGCTTAGGAAAACTCAGAATTTTGGTTTCTCGGTCCTTATGTTCCAACCAATTAAATTATTTAGTTTTTCTTAAGGACCGAAAAGATCTTTGACAGACAACATATTAATTCTGCAATAAAATTTAGAAGTCCTTTCATTTTGCAATGATAACACTACTTATTTACATGCAGTTTAACTCATTTATCCTTGTACAAGAGGAGCAGCTTCTTAGTAGAGGCTAAACGTATAGCCAGTGGTAAGTTGCTTCTCTGAGATACCAGCAATCTTACAATCACAAAAAATTGGTAATATAGGATGTTTATAGAAACCAATTGGGAGTATTAAGTTAGGTCAGCACAGAGTGATAAGACTATATCAAAACTGGGAAAACAAAACCAGGGGATAACGGAAACAAGCAGAAAGCCCTTCTTTGCTGGTCTTTCTGATGCAGAGGCCGCTGCATTCCTGCCCCACTGAGAGCGAGCGGACTGATGGCCCCTGCCCAAGGCAGCCTTTCCTCAGTCGGCCTGAGACCTGTGCCTGGCACAGCCAGCCTGTGACTAATACTATAACACACTGCAGGCACGCCTCCAGACTCATTTCTGAAATAAAGGACTCACAGTCATTTCCTGAAAAAAGGAGTGATAAAGCTTCACTTGGCTTCTGCCAAATGTTTGGCTACTTCATGACAATGAAAGGCACGCTATATAACAAAGATCACCTGTCATTTCTTCTCCAGAGCCTCACGGCTCTCTGGGCAGACTTCAAGGACACACCTCCTCCCCGCAGAGACCACTGCCAGTGCACAGCCCCTCCGCTCCCTCCACCAGTGAGTCATCGTCATCGGAGCGTGACGCTTCTCAGACAAGACGTAGCCTCAACAGAACTAAAAGCAACCGAAACTCCCCAAAATGCAAGGGCTTAATGATACTTGCTCAGTGGGTCCCGAGGTTTGCAGAATCAGAAGGCCCAAGAGCAAAACTATATAAAAATCTGGATCAGATCACAAGATACTTTGGATCAACCTGAAGGGTACAGGCTTTTTTGAGATTCCAGGTGCTTCCAGATGTTCTCTGGTCCATGGAAGCCCATTCACCTCCAGCTCTGAAGTCATCCTCTCTCATTTCTAAAACACTTTTTCTGTATCGAACTCTCAGTGGAAAGAAAAGCTGAGGGACAAAGTAGGGGCAGAGACCACACGGCTACCACTGGAGAAGGCAGAAGCCTCGCTCCTTGTCACCAGGACACAGTTTGGCAGCACCCTGGGGCTGACAGTGGTGAAGCCTGAGCTCTATAGACATACTATGAGCACACGTGTTTCTGCTAAAGAGAAAACAGTTTACCATCTGGGAACAAGACAGGGTTTTGGAGTCAATCCTGGGTTCAAAAGCTTTCCTGGGTGAGTTACTCGGCCTCCGTGGCCTGAGTCCTTTCCTCCGTTAACTCAGAATAACACCTTCCCAGCAGGGCTCCTGTGGAGACTGACGGAAGGCCGGCTCCAAGTGACACTCTGAGGTCCCCCTTGCTACCTTTCTCCGAGTAGTGCTTTGACGACCTCATGTCGACCAAGGTCTGAAGACAGGCCTCACCCAACCACTGGGCCTTTCTAGGGGAAGAGTTCACACTTCAGTGGATGGGAGAACAATAGCACTCTAGAGACCTTATGGGCAAGTTCAGGGAAATCTGCCTGCACTGGACAGAGAGCCGTGAAGAGTTGCTGCTTCAAGGCTGAAGCTGGTCTCTGGTGATGACCTCCTGGTGACTGTTTAAGAGCAGGTGCGCCCTGGGGTTGAGGTCTTTGGGTGCCAGCACCTCACAGTGCTTGAGTCACCATCACAACTCGTAGGGTCAACCACCACGTCCAGACGGTGTCATAGCATTTTCTGTATTTAATCCTGTGTAATCCTCCAAGTAGGGTGTTCCTGGGAGCTCAGTTGGTAAAGAATCTGCCTATAATGCAGGAGACCCCAGTTCAATTCCTGGGTCGGGAAGATTCCCTGGAGAAGGGACAGGCTACCCACTCCAATATTCTTGCCTGGAGAATCCCAGGGACAGAGGAGCCTGGCAGGCATAGTCATGGGCTCACAAAGAGTTGGATACAACTGAACGACTGAGCACAGTTCTAGTAATCCCTGGAGGCAGGTACCGTTAAAGTCCCGAGTGTACAGAAGAGGAAACTGAGGCACAGAAGCGAAGTGTCTCCTACAAAGAGTCACGACTGAGAGGCTGACTCCAGAGCTCACACTCGTGCCCACAAAGGCCGCCTTCCAGGTGACGTGGACTTCTCAGGGCGTGGGGATCTCCACATCTGTGGCTCTACTTCAGGTGAGTTAGCAGGCACAGGGCGGGCACATCTCTTCCTTTTTTTTTCTCACAGGGGTATATAGGAAACTGATTAGGCCTTCTTAGAGCCTGTCAAAATTAGCACATTGACTTTACCAAATAAATAAACTCACAAAAACAGAACATTGTGTTTTTACTGGGAGGTAGGTTTGCCTCCTGTGGTGGTATCTACGAAGTTCCTCAGCCTAACATTAACTGCTGATAACAGGTTCGTTCCCTGCAATTTTATGTCACTTCACCGGTCTGCATCTCTCAAAGTTGGTGAGCTCCTAGTTTATTTAAGCAACAGCTGGGAGGAGAGACTGGGAGAATTCGTTTCCTTGGAAATGTACAGAAAGGCAGTTGTGGGGAAGACTAGCCCTACAGAGTCAAACAGTCTAAGAAACCCCTCATCAATAAAGTCCTGCGAGGACGCGGGCCTGGCAAATCCTCGGGGTGGGACCCGAGTCATTATGCACCCAAGATGGGTGCTCCATGCAGCTGTGCCCCCGGGGACAGAGAGCCAGGTTGGCACCATCAGCCACCGGAACCCACCGAGGGGTTTAAAGCAGCATGGCTCAGCGGGTGTCCCGGGAGCAGTGGTTTCCCACTGAGCGGAGATAAACTGGCACCAGAAAGGAGGGGCTGAGCACCGACCACAGTGGCCCCCCTAACTGGAGCCCGACAGAGCGAGCGCTGAAATTCGGCCTGAGGAGCAGGTGCTGAGAACTGCACGCGGAGCTCCCCGCCAGAGCGAGGAAGACGACAACGTGGGCAAACACCTTCGAAAGGGCGCAGAGGCGCGCCGCGCCAGCAGCACTGCCAAGGGTCCGAGTCAACACGAAGCACCACACTGATGGCGCAAAACGACTTCACAGATTCAACTGAAGCTCGGAATGTGGGGATTCTCACAACAGCCGCATGCTGGACGGAGGCGCCGTCCTTCCCCCTCCAGAGGAAGCTCGAGCAGCAGGCCCTGGCTTTGCTCGCCACCACCCAGCCCCCGAGGTGCCTCCTGCCACTTACCTGGGCCCCTCGGTCGTTGACCAGCTCCACAGACCACCGGCCCTCGTACTGGATCCACACGAATATTCCGCCGTCTGCGTCGCACGTGGCCAGCTTCTGGTACGGCTCGTTCCACCTCACCAGCACGACCTGGGAGACGACCAGGAAGACATTTACTGAAGGGAAGGAGCCCGTGGGCAAGGAAGCCGTCCACGAAGTTATCAGGCCCAGAACTAAAGAGAAAGTGCGGTCAAAGAAAGGGCTCAAGGAGGATGAGAGGAAGGGGGAAGGGGCTGGGGGGACAGATCACAGAGCGGACAATGGCTGTCTCAGGGACTGGCCCACGTGTCAAGGCTTCCTGACAAACAGCGGGCAACTGAGCAAACCATAATAAACTCCAGCATGAAAATGGCCACCGCCATGAAAACAGAGAGCAAGCCAGAGCCTGCCAGTACCCGCCCTGCCTCCTGCAGCGCCAGGATCACTCCTCTGACGGTCCCATGTGGTGGGAAAACAATTTTCTCAAAATTCATTGTGTATCTGAATCGGGGGCTCTTTATTTAGCACAGAAAAAAGAAAGGGTGGGGCCTATTTAATCTCATTTTTTCCCCCAAAGTGAAACTATGTCTTTTCCAAGACTACCTTATTTCCAAATAGTTCAGCATCTAAACATGCCAGTTTGGGAAAAAAAATACACAGTAGAAATAAGTTGCTTGTGATTTATCACAGAGGAAAGATGAAGAAATAATTAACTTCAAAACTGATGCGTGTAAGAACTAAATTTTTAAATCTGATAAATTCTGAATCTGGACAAATCATTTTCATCTTTCTCAACTATCACTCCCTCAGCTAAAGGTGGACCCTGCTAGGTGGTTGGTGGCATTGGCCCTCACAGAACCCAGTAAAACCTGCAAGGACATGGGGCTATGAAGTGGTCGCAAGAGACACAAAACCAGCACCTGGGGTCACTGCGGGGCAGGTTCCCGGATGTAGCCTGACCCATTCGTGCTGGTGACTGAGATTTCATTCATTCAGCTCTTTTTTAAAAATCTGCATAAAGAGCTGAAAGGCTGCAATCTTCTGAGACCTGGCCATCATCAACCAATCTAACCTAGTCAGTGGCCCCCATGCCAAATGGATGCAAGCTCTCCATGGACAGAGGCACTGCCCACTGCCTGCTGCTGGCCCATCTGACTTTGTCCCTCCGCCGGGACTGCCTGCCTCGCTCTGGTCGCAGCTCTGCAGGTGCTGTCCTCACCACACCCCCCCACCTCCTGTGCCCACGGGGTCCAGGCTCCCTCCACCCCAGAGCCCCGGCCACCTGAGGGATGGGTAGAGGCACCCTCGCTTCTGAACACTGACGCGCAGGAATGCCCCGTGTAAGTTATGAGTCTCATTCAGCTATAGCTTTGAACAGTGGCTGAAAACTATTGCAAGTAGGTTATTTTCAATTCCCAAAAGCATTTTAACAACAGCCAATAATACTGACTGCCTGCCTATTACCAACTGTTAGGTTGCGAGGGTAGAAGTTTAGAAATCCTGGTCCAAAAAAAAGAAAAAAAAAAGAAATCCTGGTCCGTGTGGAGTTCAGTTCACTGAACAGACATCATATCCTGCTCCATATGCAGAGCTGGGAACATACAACAGACAGGAGGTGTACAGAGCGGAGCAACAAATCCAGAAGTGTTATCTTAAAGTCTAGTTTCTAAACGGGCTTCCCTGGTGGTTCAGCAGTAAAGGATCTGCCTGCAATTCGATCCCTGGGTCAGGAAGAACCCCAGGAGAAGGAAATGGAAACTTGTTCCAGTACTCTTGCCTGGGAAATTCCATGGACAGAGAAGCCTGGTGGGCTATACAGTCCACTGGGCCGCAAAGAGCCAGACATGACTGAGAGACTAAGACTTCCACTTTTAACTTGTTCTAATTTTTAAAATTCTATATTTAAATTACTGATCTAATCCTTAAGTGTCTTTAAACGGACCAAATGTGTCACAAAATTTAGAATTTCCAAGCAGCCAACTTCATAAAACTTCTTTCAGACCCAGTGGTGCCTGGCCTAAGCAGTACACACCACAGCATGCCACAATCTGGTCCCCAAAGACACGTTCACCATCCAAGCCCACAGTCACTCATGCATTTCAGAACAGTGATAGGAGGACAGAGTATGACAAATAAGAATGTGATTGCTTTTAAACTATTTTAGGTTAAATACGGTAAACATTCATCTACTATAGTCTTCCTTACAAGGCATCATTATTCAGAAAACAGAGGCAAGTCACATTTTCTATACTTTTGCCTTTTTCCTTTAACATGCATTGCCACATATGGTTGCATATTTAGTTATCATCATCAGTAAAACCTCTCCTTGAGAACAGCCTGTGTGGTCATAGCATGACATGGTCACAAAAGAGCAGAGGTAAAAACAAAACATTTCACACTTATTTCTAACATTAAAATGTCTTGGTCCTGTGGTAAACACTAGTGGTTGTTGGATAAACAAACAGTTCACAGACTCGACTTCACCTTTTCATAAATCCAGATGAGTTGAGACTCAGCAGTTAACCGGATGCAGCCCCCACCCACACACTTCTTTATGGGAGTGTAACTGGTGTAATGGAATATAGGTGGGTTGCTCCCCTAAATTAAGAGAAATCTTCCCAGTGATTCCTGGTTTAAAAATAAAGTTTCCAAAGGCAGTGTTGTTTCCCTGGGTTAGTTTTCTCATTTCCTCTCTTGTCTGCGATTCCGAGCCGCCCATCTTATCTCCCGGCAGCTTATTTCCTGTTCTCCCAATCCCTCCAGTCTGCCTGGCAGAGTCAGGACATACCAGAGTGCTGAGGAATTGCCGAGCGAGCGAGGCCAGCTGGGTTCTCAGTTGCCCAGATCACACAGCAGGGCGCTGAGCAGCTGCCCAGGCGTTCCAAGGCAGAGCCTTCCTTCCCTCTTAGAGGAAGATGGGGCTTCTGTTTGCTTTAAGAACTCCAGCATTAAGGATGTTAGGTGAAGCGTGCATTCTACTGAACAGACAGAATGTAAGTCAAGTTTTGACTTAGGTCTTTGATTATTCCCCTAAAATGCCAGCCTGTCACCCTCTCCAAACTAAGATTTCTACCATTTTATAGTTATTCTTATCAATAAATACTTAAAGAGGAATATTAAAGGCAGAGAAATTCACAGTAAAAGTGCAGTGCAGGTCTGTGGAAGGCCTCTTTGGGCTGTACTGTAATGCCCTCAATAAGTCACTTCACCTCCTATTCCTAGCACTATTTTTAGAAAGACCAAAGCCCTAGTACCAGCTAATCCACCTCAAGGATGTTCATCTTTTGAGACAGATACCCTTCAAATGGTGCTGGTAGAAAAACTGATGCTTTTGAATTGTGATGCTGGAGAAGGCTCTTGAGAGTCCCTTGGACAGCAAGGAGATCAAGCCAGTCAACCCTAAAGGAAATCAGTCCTGAATATTCACTGGAAGGACTGATGCTGAAGCTCCAATACTTTGCCCACCTGATGCAAAGAACTGGCTCATTAGAAAAAGTAAGACCCTGATGCTGGGAAAGATTGAAGGCAGGATGAGGAGGGGATGACAAGAGGATGAGATGGTTGGACGGCATCACCGACTCAATGGACATGAGATTGAGCAAGCTCTGGGAGTTGGTGATGGACAGGGAAGCCTGGCGTGCTGCTGTCCATGGGGTCACAAAAAGTCAAACACAACTGAGTGACTGAACTGATGATTCAGAATGTTCCATTCTAAAACAAGGGAGTTAACCTCCAATATCTGTAAGAACATTGACTACAAAAGCATCTGATTCTCAAAACAGCCTGGTACCTGGAGCAGGCATTCTCATCTTCACTTCATAGAAAAGGAAACTCGGGTTCAGGGAGGTTCCCTTGCCCACAGCACCCAACTGTCAGGAGGCAGAGAAGGGCTCAGAACCAGGAACGCTCATCCCTGGTTCTGTGTGTCTTCCTACTTACAAAGTGAAGTCAGGCATAACCATTTAGGAGCCTATTTTGGGGGGAATACTGATTCATGCTAGGAAAATGATTGTATTTATGAAGAATACTCAATATTTTTTTATATTAGAATGCTGAAATATCTAATCTAAAAATTTTGACCATCCAAAATGAGCTGTAAAAAATTGTTCACAAGGGCTTCCCTGGTGGCTCAGTGGTAAAGAATCCTCCTGCCAATCAATGCAGGAGACACGGGTTCCATCCCTAGGCTGAGAAGATCCCACATGCTACAGAGCAACTAAGCCCGTGTGCCCCAATTACTGAGGCCCTCATGCCCTAGAGCCCGTGCTCTGCAACAAGAGAAGCCATTGCAATGAGAAGCTTGCCCATCTCAACTAGAGAGTAGGCCCTGCTCGCCACAACTAGGGAAATCCCATGTGGCAACAAAGACCCAGCACAGCCCAAAATAATGATCAATAAAAAATAAATAATTTTTTTTTAATACTGAGAAAACTAGAAAAACAATCTTGGGGTAGAATCAGGAGACATAAGCACAAATGATGAGAAGTCCATGAGAAGTACTGTGAAAGAGAACTTTCTAACAAGGAGTAGGAGTGCTGCCTATCCGTGGAAGGGGCTGTCTTCAACCTGGACCACTGGAAACAAGAGGCGGGACAGCCAACTGCCAAGGGTACCTGGGAGCAACTCATCTAACTGGGGTGGGGCAGGGGGACTACAACTAGGCGACCTCCATATTACCATCCATCCGATTCCGAGATGACAAATCAAAGTTAAATGCGGCCTTGGTACCAGTGATGTTACGGCCTCAAAAAAAAAGAAAAAGGCTGATTTAAGCTCTTAAGCATCTACCAAGTGATAAACTGCCACTAAATTCACTTAAGGGAAATTCAATTCTTAAAGTAGTTAACTTGGCAATTTGAATTAAAGTTTTATATATTACATATTATTAGTACTCTTTGTCAACCAGGTGTGTACTTTAGTGATTTATAATACACTTAACCTAGTAGATTAATTTTCAACATGTTCCTCTCCAGCTCTCTGAGCAGCTAAGACAGCCGGATTCTCAGCATCTTGCTCTTTAAAATCCCCCTCTCTCAGCCCAGAACATGGAGCATTCGGTCAAGAAACAGCACCGCTCCAGGCACACGGCCAGGCTACCTACTGAAGACAGA